GTGTGTGTGTGTGTGTGTGTGTGTGTGTGTGTGTGTGTGTGTGTGTGTATGCACTTGAGCAAATGGAGGCCAGAGGTCAATGTTAGGTGTATTCCTCAACTTCTCCTATTTTACACTTATTTATTCATTCAAAAAATATTTTAAATTACATCCTCCCCATTGTGTGTGCATATGAATGCGTGTGTGTGTGTTCATGCGCACATCAAACACACTTGCTTATATGCATGCATGCATGCCACAATGTGCTTCTGGGGGGTCAAAGGGCAATTTTCAGAAGTTGGTTCTCTCCTTTCATCCTGTGGGTTCCAGGAATGGAACTCAGGTTGTCAGACTTGGTGGTAGGTACCTTTACCAACTGAGCCATCCTGCCAACTCTCTGGTTTTTAAGATAAGGTCTCTCACAGAACCTGAAATTCATTAATTTAGCTAGACTCACTGGCCACCTTGTCCCACAGCCTCCTGCCTTCGCCTCCCCAGTGCTGGGATTATAGATACATGCTACTGTGCCTACCCCTTCCGTGGGAACTGCGAATCAAATTCAGATCCTTGTTTTCATGGTAAGTAATTAATGGATATCACCTCTCCTTTTCCCCATCACCCTTGGAGGGCTAACAAGGTCTGCTATGTATTTCTGACTGACCTAGAATAAAGGGAATGAGTGAAAAATGAGGGGGGTATGGGAGGATAGTGGGGAGAGTGATTGATAAAATTATAACAATATATACACATGAAAACGATGTAATGAGAACTATTATTTTGTATGTTAATTAAAAATATTTTTTGTTGAGACAGGGTCTTTCTCCATGGTTCTGGCTGCCCTGGACCTCACTATTTAGACCACATTGGCCTTTAGCTGAGATATTTCCCCTGCCCTGTCTCCTGAGTGCTGGGATTATAGGTATATACCACCATGTCTGACATAAAAATGTTTTTTGAAAAGTAAAATATTTGAAAATGTTTGATAAATCCTTAAATATTATTCATGATTGCTATAATCACAGATGTCACAAACCAGTGGACAGGGAAGATGGAGAAGGGTCTTGGGCTTTTGTAGGTGAGGCAAGGACCTACGGCAGGAAATTTGACCTACACTATGAGATGACCTTAGTGGAGCAAGATTTCACTTATTTTGTGTTTGGTCATTTCTTGGTTTTGAGATAAGGTCTTGTGTAGCTCAGGCCAACCATGAACTGCTGTGTAGCAGAGGATGGCCCTGAAACTCCTGGTTCTTCTGCTTCTGTCTTTCAAGCTCATTGGCTTGCATACCTCGACTTGCTTGGTTTAGGATTTCACCTCTGTCTGACTCTCAAGCCCCCATGTGCTCACTGTGGCCCCTGCCACATCATCCCAGAATTATTGATGTTATTGTTGCCTGATGTGGGTGCCCCTCTGTATGCTGTGAATGTGTTTTATTACCATAGTTAATACAGAAGTTGCTTTGCCCATGGCAGGACAGAGCATAGCCAGGCATGGAATCTAAGCAGAGATAAAGGGAGGAAGAAGGTGGAGTCAGGGAGAAGCAAGATGTGAGGTAACAAGCCATGAGCCTCATGGTAAAATATAGAATAATAGAAATGGGTTAATTCAAGTTGTAAGAGCTAGTTAATAATAAGCCTGAACTAATAGGTCAAACAGTTTGTAATTAATATTAAGCCTCAGAATGCTTATTTAGAAACTGGTGGGTGGGAGATAAGCC